ACCGACAATCAATTCACAGACAAGTTCATTTCACCGACAATTATTTCACTGACAGCTCATTTCACTGACAAGTATTTATTATAAATTACACTAACCTTAGCTCTAATTCTACCTGATACTAACAAAAATGACCAGAATTATTTTGTCGGCGAAATGTTGTCGGTGAAATAATTGTCGGTGAAATGAACTTGTCGATTAATTAATTGTCAGTGAACTAAGCTGTCAGTAAAGTGATTGTCGGCGAAATGCACACCACCCCAAAAACCTATATACCTGAAGCAATTATTAATGCTTTTAGAGCTATGGGGATTTGGCCTCTTAATCCTAATACTATTGATCCAGATCATTTTGACCCTTCTTTATCTACAGAATGAATTGATAGTTTACCTTCATTCGATCAAGAACCATCTTCAAATACTATTCCGTCTTTTCAACAAAATCTACATTTCTCTATTCCTCTTCTCAACAAAATCCATATTTCCCAGAATCGTCTTCTCAACAAAACTATATTCCTCAGAACCATCTTCTTATCAAAATATATATTCCTCCATACAATCTTTTCATCAAAGTCCATATCCTTCTACACCATTATCTCATTCAATTTATATATCATCTTATCAGCTAATTCATATATCGTCTTCTCACCCACTTCATTATTACTCTACACCATCTTATCATTCAAGTCCTCAAGCTAGTATTACAGGAGAAAATGAATTATTAAGAGTGAAAAATGATTCTTTAAAGCAAGAAAATATGTTATTAAAAGAAGAGCTTGAGATATTCAAAAATCTCGGTACCTGTTCTCTAAAATTAGCTCTTAAGTATCTGACTTTCCGAGCTCCAATGAAACCAAATGAATCATCTAATCAGCCAAAAAAAGAAAAACCTTCCCATTTGCTCGACTCCTTACTAATGAAGATTCTCTGCAAACGTTAAAAGAAATGGATGAGTTAGCAAAGAGCAAAGTAGAAAATGCAAAACGAAGAAAAGAAGAGGCAGCCCAAAAAAAAGCTGATAGGGAAATACAAAAAGCACAAAAAAAGGCTGAAATTGAGAAAAGAAAAGAAGAACGTTTGCGTAAAAAAAAGAAATAACGGAAATAACGTAATTCTTTATCATACAGATCTTATTACGATATGGGTATCACTAAAAAAATATCGTTTTTGATAAATTTGTATGTAAATTATCAATAATGTAGTTTACGCAATATGCAGATCTTAATAATAAATGATGCGCCATAATACCCCCAACCTATAAAACATAGCAGTTTTTAGATTGATTTTTGAAGTTCTTAAATTCAAAATTTTTTTAAAAAATTTTCATTTTTTTTTGTTTGGCGGAAAAGACTAAGTCGAATATTAGCTTATTTCAATAAAAATTTGGAAAAATATTTTTTTCCCAAGAATTTTTACTATTAGCACTCTTAGGTGCGCCATAATACCCGTCCTGCCCTTATGACTTAATCATGCTGTCAAGTCATATGGAGGTCAGTTAATTCAAAAATGGAAAATTTAACAATTAAATGATCGGTGATTACTGTTATAATTTCCATTTATGAATTGCTAACGCTAATACGTACATTGATAATGACTGACAGCTGACCGTTGATATTAACCGAAAATTACGTAATAGTAATGAGACGTATGTTAATAAAAAAAATATATTAACAGTGGTTTTAATTTTTACAGCTTTACTTGGACTAATATAATAATAAAATAATAATAATAATAATAATCTCACTGCTAGTCTTTGATTTCGTTATTACTATGGCAAATCTTCCTAACGAACTTATTATAGATGTTCTTCGAGAGGTCTTACACGAATCTGGGTAACCTTAAGATACTTACTAAAACAATTTTATTTTTGTTTACTCACTATTTATAAATTACAGATTTCAAGCACTTTATAAAATTCGAGCAACTTGTCAGCAATGGAAACGATTAGTCCCTATTATTATAATCGATGAATTTTTGAAAAATAAATCATATCAACAAATGTTTAACGTCGAAGTAAGTAGTATCCTTAGTATCTTTACAAGGAAATAATCGTTTTTTTGAAAAAGAATAAATTTCAATGACATGACATAAATAATTTGAATTTAGGTCCGCGGATGGAATCGTTCATTATTACCTATCACTATGAATCAGCAGCTCGAAAACTTTTTTGGTCGCTTTTATCCATCACGCTTATATTATGATGATAATACAAAAATGATTTATTTTCTAAACGAGAAAATTCCTTCATTTCAAGTTATCAATGATATTTTGGAATGTTTTATTTTTCCATTCGTTATTAATATAATGAAAGATGAATTGGATGGAATGGAAGGAGAAAAAGAATTTAAAAAAAATGATTGCGTTAGCATTATTATAAAAAAGATAGACGATAATTCCTTCAAGGTCTTAAGATGGAGCATTTGTGGGAGAGTTGTGAACAAGGTACTGGATACAAACTTTATAAAAAGTCAAGTGATAATGTAAAAAATTGACAAAAATACTATACAGTATATAAATATTTTTCATACCTATCTTATTTCCTTTGTTCGATCTTCTAAATGCGCACAGGACTATTAATACTAAATTAGTGTAATGTTATACGTAGATAGCTTACCTTTTTTGTTTTTTTTTTATAATTGAAATTACGTATAAGATTTGTAAACTAATTAACTGAAAATAAGAATAAAATATGTATATTCAGCTTTAATTTAGTCTGACGATCATACAATAAAGTATAAATGAGGACAAGGCTATTTAGTAATACCTATTAACTATATACGTATGGAAGCAATGACAATAATATATTATTGGAAAGAACAAACAAGGACGACTAAAAGATGAAACAAGGAAATGATAATAATAAGAGAATTAAAAACGTACGTACACAAAATTTGCAAAGGTGAAACCAGTCAGCAATAACTATGATTCGATTAATAAGTGTTATACGACTTTAGGGTGATCAACACAAATAAACAATAGCGATAGTTAGTACAATATGATTTATCATTATATTCTGATTTTTTAAAGGTTAATTTCACATCGAATCTACATATGAAATTCGCAGATTTAGGTACTTTTTTTACCTAACAGATAAAATTGTATCGTTTTTTTTTTAAACTATAGTATTGGACTGTAATAAAGCTATTTTTACAATAACTTTTCATAAAATTAGATTATTTTTTTTTTAAAAAAAAAAACTATTACAAAACTGCTCTATTACAGCGCAATTTTGTCTGGCACCCGGGCGGCCCCAAAAGTTCGGGTTGATGATTGACGTCATGGCCGTAGCATATAATTCTGGACAAAACTATGTATATAATGTGTTACATAATTTAGGTCAATTTGCGTCTTATTGCTAGCTAAAAAAAAAAGTGCACCTAAATCATATGAAAATGAAATTAACCTTTGAAAAATCCGAACATAATATAATACGCTAACTATTGTTTAATTTATTAGTGTTGATCACTCTAGTGACCCAACAAAACTTTGAGGAAATTTCTTTTTTCTATAACATGCATAAATGTCCATTGTCATACAATTTAGGATGTACGTACGTACGTACGTACTAACCTATTAATTATATGTTTAAGTATATAATAAACGTACTGCATGATGGCAGTAATTTTATACTTTATTTTCTCAGCATATCTTTCATATATCAAAAAATGTCGAATGGAAATTCAACAGAACTATTAGCGAAAGATATTAATTCATCTGATGGAATTACTCAACTAGTCGATGATCTTAATCAACTGAATTTCGCTAATTGTCAAGAATCAGCAAATAAGAATGACTCAGAAGGAATATTCTGGCTCGGTTATTGCTATGAATACGGAATTGGGGTTGAAAAGGATGAAATCAAGGCATTCACTTATTATCAAAAGTCTGCAGATATGAACAATTCTAATGGAATGTTTCAAGTTGGCCATTGTTATTATTTAGGAATTGGAGTTGAAATGGATATGGATAAAGCATTTAAATATTATCTAAGATCAGCTGAGGCAGGTAACTCGATAGGAAATTTTAAAATAGCTGTTTTTTACAGATTCGGAAGATGTGTGGAAGCGGATTATTTCAAATTTTTAAATTGGATTGAGGAGTAAGTTTATTTATTTATTAATCAGATTTTATTTTAAATCAGAATCTCAAAACCGTTTAATCCTTAGGGAGTAAGAATCATAATCAATTATTAGGTTATAAAATTAGAATTTAATATTATCATTAAGCAATATTTTTAAATTATTTTGTTTAGCAAGTGAGTATAAAATATTATTAAAAATCAAATTTATACTTTAATTAATGTTGACATGGTCCAGTCTATGATCAACTTGACTAGACTAATTAATCAATCTGACTAGTCAAATTGATTAAAGTGTATATATATATATCGTATATATTATATATAAACTACCAAATATGTGACTAATTATTAATTTTATCAATGAATTTCTATAAAATATTTATGACATTTTAGTTAGTAAGTATAAGAAGCATTATTAACCTGAGTATTTAAAATATGCTATTCAAATTATAAATAACATTGTTTTTAGTTTGTAGGTATAAAGAACACATGAATATTTAAAGTCAGCTACCGTATTGACACGTAATAACGCACATGTGCGTTATTTTGAAACTCCCCTTTTTTGAATATTGTTTTTTTGACTCAAAATAACGCCCATTCGCGTCCCAAAATAACGCGCCTTCTTAAATGTACTATATTACATATTTTGATCGAATTTTTCAGGCTAAGATCATTATTAAAAGTAGGGCTTCCTTTTGTAACCCAAATTTGTCAAAATGATTCGAATTACCGCGCAAAATAACGCGCGGAGTCTCGAAACAACGCGCAGATGCGCGTTATTACGCGCCAATGCGGTAATCAATTCTATGAATGTTTATACTAATATCGTGTTAGTTTGTAAGTATAAAATACATTATTTGTTTATAAATATAAAATTTCTATTTAATTTTTAATTTTCATTTAATTTAGTGCGTGAGTATAAGAACTTTATTAATCCAAGTATATAAAATAAGTCATTTCAAAATTCATAAAATTTTAATTATTTATATTAATTTAGCGAGTGAGTATAATAAACATTTATTTATTTAAAATAAACAATATAAGTTAATAAATATACGCTTGTTATTTATTCATGCTAATTTAGAGAGTGAGTATAGAAACATTCATTAATCTATGTTTAAATAAGCTATGAATGGTTATATTTAATTTTAATTTATTCTCATTTTAGTGAGTAAGTATAAAGAAAATCTATTAATCTAATTATTGAAAATAAGTATTCAGGTTATAAATAAATTTATCATTAATATTTTTACTATTTAATTCCATGTTATTTGCGTTAATTTAGTTGGTAAGTATAAAGAACATAGATTATCTTAATGTTCAAGTAATTTTTTAAAGTTTATGAATATTTTTTATTTAAATCACGTTAATTTAGTCGGTAAGCATAAAGGACATTTATTAATCTAGTAGTTGCAACAAGTTATTCAAGTTCATTGATATTTACTTTACGTTAATATAGAAAGTGGGTATAAAGAACATTACTTATTCTAAGTATTTATTTCAAGTTCATGAATATTTACATTTTTTGTTAACTCAGGAAGGGGTATAAGAACATTTATTAACCTAAGTATTGAAATAAGATACAGTATTCAAGCTCATGAGTATTTGCTATTTAATTTTATTTTAACTTAGAGAGTGAGTATAAAGAATATTTATTAAATTCAGTTCATAAATATTCACTATTAAATTTCATTTTATTCATGTCAATTTAGTGGGTAAGAATAAAGAGCATTTATTAGTCTATTTAAAATAAGCTATTTAAGTTCATGAAGATTTACTATTTAATTTTATTTTATTCATATCGATTTAGTCCGTAAGTATAAAGAACAGTTCTTAATCTAAGGTTTTAAAATAATCTATTCAATCGTGAATATTTACTATTAATTTCATTTTATTCGTGTTAACATAGTGAGTGAGTATAAAGAACATTTATTAATATATGTATTTAAATGTGCGACTCAAATTCAAGAAAACTTATTATTTATGTCATTTTAGTGAGTGAGTATAGAAAAATTTATTAATATAAGTATTTTAATTCTTTAAATAAACAATTCACATTATAAAATATTTATTATTTGTTTTTATTTTTTTATGCTGATTTAGTTAGTAAGTAAAAAGAAATACATTGATCTAAGTGTTAAAGCAACCTATTAAAGATTATAAATATTTATTATATAATTTTATTTTATTCACGTTAATTTAGCGCGTAAGTATGAAGACCAAATTTAACCTAAGTACTTAAAATAACTTATTCATGAATTTTTGCTATTTAATTTATTTTATTCATGTTAATTTAGTTAGTAAGTATAAAAAACATTCATTATAAACATTCAAAATAAGCTATTCAAACTCATAAATATTTACATAAATTTAGTGAGTAAGTATAAATACATTTATTGCATTTAAAATGGGCGATTAAAATTCATCATTATTTACAATTTATATGGTCCGTGTTAATTTAGTGCGTGAGTATGAAGATCATTTATTATAAGTATTTAAAACAATCGAACTCAAATTCATGAATATTTGCTATTTAATTTCGTTTAATTCGTATTAATTTAGTTTGTGAGTGTAAAAGACATTCTTTAATATGAACGTTTAAAATGACATTTAATTAAGGAATATTTACTATTTAATTTCATTTTATCCACATTAATTTAGTCAGTGAGTATGAAAACCATTTATGGATGTTAAGTGTCGTAGATGATGCTGAAATTTGGGTCTCGATTTAGAACATAAGCTCTATTAAAATCCACCTATTCTCTTAAATATCAAATCCGACCTAAACCCTAACCTAATCCTAAATTAGCAGCACAAAAAAATGAAATTAAGTAATAAATATCTATGAATTTGCATTGCCTATCTAAATTCTTATATTAATAAATATACATTATACGCACAGTCTAAATAAAAAAAAATCAAACAGGAAATTTTCAATAATTAGCTTATTTACTATTCAGATCAATAAACGTTTTTATACTCACTCGCTAAATAAAGTGAAATTAAGTAAATGTTTATAAACTTGTGCAAATTATCTGAATTGATAAATATTCTTCATACTCACGTTCTAAATTAACACGATGAAAAAAAATAAATAATAAATCTTCATGAACTTGAATGATTATTTAAATACTTAATGTCGTGACTGATGCTGAAATTTGGACTTATTTTATATGATATTTTAAAAATTTTTTGAGGCGTTTTTCCCGCTTTTTTTAGGATTAGGTTAGGGTTTAGGTCGGATTTGATATTTAAGAGA